CAGCTAGTAAAGCTGTAAGTGACAGACCCACTTGTGCCAACTACATGTGTATATTGCTATGTTTGGTGAAGCTAGGAGATATCAATGAGGCAGAGAAAATATTCAAGGAATGGGAGCTCGACTGTCGTAATTATGACATTAGAGTCTCCAACGTTCTTCTGGGCGCATATGTGAGGAATGGACTGTTAGATCAGGCCGAGTCATTACATATGCACACATTAGAGAGAGGTGGTACTCCGAATTATAAGACATGGGAGATTCTCATGGAGGGATGTGTGAGAAGCCAAAACTTGGACAGAGGTATTAATTTTCTCAATAACGATTTTGCTGGGTTGAAATGTCATGATTAAAGTCAACATTTTTCTTTTTTGGTCGGATTCAAGTATAGTTAGGTAGATAAAGTACGAACTAAAGAAACATCATATATTTCATAAGCTTTCATTATTCAATCTCTGCAAGTTGCATCCATGCTACATGAACACAGCAGGCACCACACAGGGTAACCAAAGTTTGTGAAGTTTATTTATGTTGATAACTTAGCTTTAGCTACCAAGTACCAATCTCTACGATCATTTTAGTGCTGCCAGTGCCGATTTCACGTTTCGTGATATACGATCATGTAATGGTTCCTGCATAAACCCAAAAATAGTCAATACCATCAACCATATGGTTTAAGACATAACTAATACACATACCTCTAACAATGGCACCTCAAATTTGGATTTGGTTATTGTCTCGTACAAGAAGATATATCTGTCGTCATGAACAAGAATACGGAGTCGATAGTTAGGAATGGATCTGTAACAGCCCAAGCTTATCGCTAGCAGATATTGTCCTCTTTAGGCTTTCCCTACAGTACTTCCCCTCAAGGTTTTAAAACATGTATGCTAGAGAGGTTTTCACACCCTTATAAGGAATGCTCTATTTTCCTCTCCAACTAATGTGAGATCTCACAATTCATCCCCCCCTTGGGAACCAACGTCCTTGTTGGCACACCGCCCGATATCTAGCTCTAATACCATTGATTGCCGAAGCCCACCGCTAGCAGATTTTAAAATGCATTTGCTAGGGAGAGGTTTCCACACCTTTATAATGAATGGTTCGTTCTCCTCTCCAACTGATGTGGGATCTCCCAATATCACAAAGAGGTATAAGAGTTAAGAAGTCATAAAAGCTCAAGAAATACAGAGAAGCCTTTTGCAACTTAGTCCCCAAGGTCTGAATATGTAGAATGTAGCATGTAGCTTGTTTTCCTAGCCATTCTATTTGTATAAATGAAAGGATCGAATAACGTCGAGGAAAATAAAATACATACCTCCATGACAGTTCACGTACAAGCTCTTCAGGAGCATCAGGGAGAACCTGAACATATTTCACGAAACTATGAATGATATTTCAACATCCGAAGGCAGTACAAATGGCATAAGTAATAATTAATAACTTCATCAAATAGTTGAGAGAAAATATCAAGACCATACCTCATCTTCATATGGATTGCAATTATCTTTGAACCACAGCCTCAAGAATTCCTATACGGATAATGTAAAGTTCATAAACTAATGCAGATGGTACTAAAATATGCAAACAGAAAACGCACCTTATCAACATTTTCAGGCTCGAGGCCGTTTTGAAAGCGTTCCTCATAGGACTGTGCAATCCAGTATCTGCTTGAATCGGGTGTATGCACCTTGAATTGCAAGTAGGGAAAGAATCATCCCTTGTAATAATGACTCAAATATTTACATAAATTAGCAATAGATGTGAAGTCTAGAAAAAGTTAGAAAGAGTATTGAACCTCGTCAATTAAAAGAATAGATCCATCCTCTCCCTTTCCAAATTCATACTTTGTGTCGACCAGTATCATACCATGCTCCAAAGCCACTTTCTGAAATATCAAATTGGAGAATGTTAAAACCTACTTCTTTGGCCACTATGAAAGACGTTGTTACACAGCCCAAGCCCACCGCTAGCAGATATTGTCCTTTTTGGGTTTTTCCTTACGGACTTCCTCTCAAAGTTTTAAAACGTGTCCAATAGGGGAAAAGGTTTCCACACCCTTATAAGGAATGCTTCGTTCCCCTCTCCAACCGATGTGGGATCCTACACTTGTGTATTGGGAAATGACTTCAAGGGCCAATTAAGATTGCTTATTCAAACTTTCAACATAATGTCAGCACCAAATCCACTTTAAAAGGTAAAACATGAGGGCACATTGTAAACAGGTATAGTCAGGATTCTTGCGAAAACATCACTTCAGGATTCTTGCGAAAACATCACTCCAATTAATTTGTCTCAGGACGAAAGATGGAAACTGTACTGTAACAAAACGAACTTACCTGCCCGTACTCGAACAAGCTTAAAGCCTTTCTACTTGCTTCTTCATAATCAGCTCGACTCATCAGGCCCTTTTCAATGATCTGCAAAGCTAGCATGTATGTAAACAACACAAGTAATTTGACTGGAACATAAATTATAAGCTAATTAAGAAAATGCCTCAAGCCTACAAGCTCATAGCAGAAGGGTATACCTCATCTGGTGTCACAGGAACGTCATGAGTATCAGCCTTGGTTGTTGGAGTAAGTATATGGGAAGACAGCTTTTGGTTCTTAACCAAGCCTATTATAGTTGAGAGGCGATTACATGGATCAGTCGGAGAAATTTTGAATGGGAAGAGACAAAAAGATAGAGAAAACATACCATCTGGAAGAACATTTCCACAGTAGTTTCGCACCCCGTTCTTGTACACCGTCCATACTGATGTATCCGTGCTTCCAGTGACAAATCCTCTAACTACAATCCAGAAGGAGATGGCCATATTGCACCATGGAATCATGGGGACACATCCATTTACAAAGACATAAAATGAAGATGAAGAACACTAAATATATCAACAAGTATACTCCCCAAAAAAGGAAAATTCAACAACTTCAACACAGAATATCTTTCCTTCCGATAACTGGGAAAGTTGCAACATTGTGAGTTGACTCCCTGTGTTATTCCATAGTCAGCAAACTGATGAACTAATAAAACATCCTACCCTTTAGTTTTTCTGTCCTATATTCCTTCAGCTGTTTTGTTTTTACACATTGCGGAGGTTCTATAACTATTAATGCTCAATTCAATCCAAATGAAAAGGATGCTGAGAATTCCATAATGACTCACCAACAAACTCAACGGGAAAAACTGAACACTTTTTTGCAATCGTGACATTCTTATCCGGGACTGACACAACTGCATTTGAAGTGATGTGCTGTGTTCTGTCAAACCACCATAAGCTGGTCTCATTAAGAACCTGAACGATGTAGAACAAGAGAAATTGGGAGCCAAGAATTAAAAAACTAAGAACAAGTGGATACCCATCCCAACTATATACAACCAATTCCCAATCCCAACAGTGATTTGCCTCATAAAGGAATTCTCAGTATCAGTAGATAACCTCCCTACCTGACCCTTAAAGGGTATGGAAGCAAGAACTCTATCGAACGCACTCTGTCGATCAGTTGTAACCAAAATAAGATAATCTCCATAGTCATATATATCTCTCACCTGCAGAGTGGGAAACACTGGTAAAATCACAAGTTTCGGTCACTATAAAGCAAAGAGCTCTACAATCTCGCATTCTTGGTTAATCAGTTCTTCTCCAGCAACCAAAAAAGAAACAGACATCACCCATTCAAAAAATGTAAAAAGGAACCTTATTCCGATTCAGCTAAAGATCACCTTGCCCCTGGTTTTGGAATTAATCCCAGGAACCGTCAAGTGGAGATTCGTCTCAGATAGACAGTTGAACAAAGACTTGTCTATGGCGCCGACGATCTCCTCTCTGCGATCCCCTTTAATCAAAGCATCCAAGGATATATTACTCGGCGAATCTTGACGGTGGCTCAGGCTCGCCTTCACCGGAGACGAAGAAGAGGCGGCGGAGAGCATCCTCAGCCTCGTTTTGCCTCTGCCGAGTGAGGCTGAAGTGAAAGACGAAATGGAGAATGGGAGCTTGACCGCAGGGGTTTTAGGAGTGTGGATACCGGTCATAGGGCGAGCCATTTTTCCCTTGAGGTGATCGGATTCCGTTTTGGTTCGAAAAGCGGCGACTTTATATGGTTGCGGAGAGCTCGAGAACTAAGCTCGTCTTCCGTTAGGAATCGACCCTTTGGGCTTTGAGACAGGCTGAAAGATGGCCCAATGGGTCGAATGAAATCGTTGTGGGCCCTTGCCCATTTCCGGTAAAATTCTATTTATAAATTTAAAACCTAATTTAAACCACACAAAATTACGATGATTAAAGATGATTAATTATAATTTATTTAAATCATAATTAAAATATTTAATTATTTAAATAATTTTCATCGATGGCCATAATTTTTTTTTCAAAGATAGTATATTTCAACGTTTTAATATAATTATTATAATATTTAGATGTGATGATTAAAAAGAGTTAATTATAATGAATTAAGCTAATTAACGTTTCATTAATTACTCAAATTATAATTCATCCATCTTCATATCTTTTAATGCGATGATTAAAAATTAAATAGCTAGGTGTGGAGCAATTAAACAGAAATTGATACGAACTTATAATTTGACAGGCTGCCAAAAAAGCATGGAACTTGAAAAAAGTCTAAATCAGAATTATATATGGAAGGATTCTTCTAATCGATCACAGATTCTTGACCCCGTCGTTTGGCTTCTCGAAGACGATTATCCTAACTAATAGGCCGGATGCGACTTTTCCTTCAATATGGTTTGGATGGCATAGCCTGTCACAGAAGTCCCAGTGAGGACAATAGTTCGAGAGTTCACTCGGAAGACACTCGAGATGAGATAGCACCATCTTGTGCAACACAACGAGATTTTACTGTCTATCATCAGGCGACTTCTCGTTGAGCAGACTCAATGTTATTTTGAACCGTCAATAGAGCGATCACCGAACCATTACTCTAACGAGTGTAGTTATTTAATTAAGGTCGGTAGAAATGGCTTTAAAAGAGCAGCTAGCGATTCAAAGAGAATTTCAAGCATGGGCAGCAAGAGTAGAATTCAAAGAAAACCTAGAATTTTGTGCCTTCATGGCTTCCGAACCAGTGGAGCAATCTTGAAGAAGCATGTCGAGAAATGGCCGACTTCCGTCCTCAATCAATTCGATTTCCATTTTATGGACGCTCCATTCCCTTCCAGAGGAAAATCCGAAGTCGAAGGACTTCACGATCCTCCCTATTACGAGTGGTTTCAATTCCACGAGGTTCACAAATCGCTCTTCCTTTTCAATTCTCTGCAATTTCACAACTCAAAATCGATCGATTCAATTTCAGGACACGGCCGATTTTACAAATGTTGAGGAATGCCTTCAATTCATCGAGAATCACATGCTTGAGCACGGACCATTCGACGGACTACTCGGCTTCTCACAGGTAACAATTGATCCGAATCAATTTCTGAGTTGAACGATCTCACATTTGAAACTCTTCGATCGCGAACATTTTCAGGGAGCGGCGTTGGCGGCCCTACTACCGGGATTTCAAGCGAAGGTAAACACTCCGGCCGCTTGGCCTGGCTATTGTTGTAAATCTCTGTTTCAATTTTCCAGAATGAAATTGAATCGGTTGCAGCAGGGTGTGGCGCTGACGAGAGTCCCTAAGATCAAATTCGTAATCATCATCAACGGTGTGAAACTGGAATCGCCATCTCTGGACGCTCAAGAAGCTTATGCCTCATCCATCGCATGCCCATCCCTCCATTTTCTAAGTAACTTCCACGCATTGTTTTTGCCTTATTCCATTTCTTTTCATTTTGCTTGCTGAAAGGATCTGTTGTTATTGTGGTTGACAAGGTGAGGAAGACTTCTTCATGCCCAGTGGATTGCAGCTGCTGGAATCATTTGTTGAACCATTTGTAATCAATCATCTCAAAGGCCACGCAGTACCTAGACTTGGTAATCTTCAATTCATTCCTCAAATATACATCCTTATGGCTCTTCTTATGGTAATTTTGATATTGTATAATTTCCTTTTTCAGATCAAAAAAGTTTGAAGATTATGGAGAATTTCATCGACAGGATTTCAAAGTTATGATCCACTCAAACTAAATAACAGCTTAGCTCAAAGACAAATGAGATGCTAGAATACATCTTAATTAGATGTGTTATACTCCCCGATAATAATAATAAAAATAAAACGAAGCTATATATTTTCTGAACTCGTTGCTTTTTTTCTTAGTTCAACACCATGTTGAGTGGGAAATTCAAACTTTTCTTTAACGAAATTCAAACTATTCTAAACATTGAACTTAAACTATCGATTTACAAAGAACTTAGTCACTAACTAGAAAACACAAATGTTTTTTTTACTGCATTTTTAATGTCCACTAACAAATATAACATACACTGATTTTATATAGTCTTAGGCATTCCAAGAATTAACTTTTAAATTTTATGACCATAATCGTTCAAGTTGTAAATAAGTATTAAAATATAATAAAAAAAATATCATAACTCTAAATTATCATACACCAAAAATTTGTAATATTCAAAATTTGTAACTATCTAAAAATAAATGAGTTTTTTTTATGACGTCATTATTTGAAAATAATAACAAAACTATGTATTGTTATTACAAATTATTCAACAAAATATGTAAAATTGAATATTATATATACACTCATTATACCTAAAATAAATAATTACTTAATCCCGTAATATTGTAAATTTAAATATTAGCTGTCAAGGTACTCATTAACTAGTTGGTTGCTTGAAAAATAATAGTAACTAATAAATGTTACTTTTAAATACCTTCAAATCCACTTAATCTTTTGCATTCAAGTAACTTAAAACAACATTTATTACAACTTTTTAAATATGAGAATATTTGTGTAATAAATTTATTACTATAAATGATGCATTGTATAACGCTTAACTAATGTCATTATTATGAATATTTTCAGATACTTTTCGGTACCTTACTTTATAAAATAAAATAATTTTGATTGAAAATCATAAATTAATCGTTTTATTAATCAACCTCCTAATCTTTCCATTAAACTTTAGCAATTCATAATTATTTTCACTTAATTCAATTTAAAATAAAATCAATCCATTAACAAATATCTTTTCCACTATTCATTTATTTGTTATTTTACGAATAAAAAAAATTCTCATATGGGATAAAACGCGGCGTTTATTTATTTATTATTTTCAAAATATTCATTTTTTAGAGGAAAAAAGCCCAGGCCCAGGCCCAAGACCAAGCCCAAATTGTAATACAATGCATTTTATACCGAAAATACCCCTATCGAGTGCGCGTCTCTTCCCCAAAAAAATTGAATACTCGCGCGTCAGCACATTCGTCCTCGGCGTTTCCCATGTTTACAACGAGTCTCTATCATGAAGCTACCTAGCGAGGAGGGAGGAAGGGCCTAGAAAATGGGTTTTAAATGAGTTCGCTCTCCCCTCTCCTCTGCTCACCAATTTCGAAAACCAGATCTCCGGAATTCCATTTACAGAGAATTCCAATCATGGGAACCGACGGTGAAATCCGAAGAAAACCTAGATTTCTTTGCCTCCATGGCTTCCGAACCAGTGGAGCAATCCTCAAGAAGCAAGTCGGAAAATGGCCGGATTCTGTCCTCGAACAACTCGATCTGGATTTTCTCGATGCTCCATTTCCTGCCGAAGGCAAATCCGACATCGAAGGAATTTTTGATCCTCCCTATTTTGAGTGGTTTCAATTCAGTCCAGTACGACAGCTTAACCGTAATTTCTTCCAAAAATCGCAAACTCTCGTTTATTTTGTTTGTTTATTCTCTCTTCTTCCATTGCAGGAATTTACCGAGTATAGGAATTTCGACGAGTGTCTCTCGTTCATTGAGGATTACATGCTTAAGCACGGACCATTCGATGGATTCCTCGGTTTCTCACAGGTAATATCATTTTTATTTTTCCTAATTAGCCAAACGGAGCTTAATCGAGTATCGATTTGTTAATGAACTTCGTTGAATTCTACAATTTCAATCTCTTTGCAAACAATTTCAGGGGGCGATACTATCGGCCGCTCTGCCGGGACTTCAAGCGAAGGTAACCTAACAGCAGCCTGCTGCTATTACATTACAAATCCATCTGAATTCTCCAAAATAAACGTTAAAAGTGAAATCGAGGTTTTGACGCTGAGGTGCATTAATTGTTGCAGGGTATGGCACTGACGAAAGTCCCCAAGATCAAATTCGTGATCATCGTCAGCGGTGCGAAATTCAGATCGCAATCTGTGGCTGAGAAAGCTTACTCGTCAGCCATTGGATGCCCATCCCTCCATTTTCTAGGTACCTCCTCCACATGGTGTTCCTTTTGTCCTTTTTTGAAAGTAGTTACGAATATTCTGATTCTTTACATCGTTACTTTGAAAACAAACAACCCACCGAGCGCATAATTTTAGGCATTTAGTTTTGGAATTAAATAAGAGCTTGTCTTAATTCCTTGAATTACGTCCAAGTAGCCGAACAATCCATCGTATTTTATGTATCAAAATAATTATAGGCAGATTGCCAATTCAAATCAAGGAGGTTGTTATGAATGTATTATTAAAAAATGTGAATGGACAATTCTTTGATTGGTCTTTTTCTCAAAAATAAGAGAATCAAATCCCTAAATTCTTAGGTGGGTATCACGTTAAACTCCAAATAGCTCAAAACTTTACTAATTGAATCAATTTAGACATCCAATCCATTAGACTTTCATTTTAAAGCCATTGATGCAAGAGTTCTTAAGATGCCATGATTTGATATTTTCCTTTGATTATATGAACTGTTTAAATTCTTGAATTTAAGATTTGAAATAAATTAATCAACTTCTAGAACCTGTGTGTGAAATGCTGAAAAGGGTTATCATGGTGGCAGGTAAGGAAGATTTCTTGATGCCCCACGGACAGAAGCTTCTGGAATCATATATAGAGCCTGTAGTAATTAATCATCCTAAAGGCCACACAATACCAAGACTAGGTAATATACAATTTCAACTCATTTCACTTTTCCATGCTTAAATATATATATTATATATCCTTCATTTCTGATGCTGATTTAATTATCTCAACTTTATGTTTTCAGATGATAGAGGTTTGGAGGTTATGGAGAGTTTCATTGAGAAGATTTCAAAGATGTTGGATGAGGCAGAAGAATAATAGTCTTAAAAGTCGCATTGGACTATCAATTATGCAGCCTTAGCCTTAAACAATGATGGAGCTAATTGTATAGTTCATTCGATGTATTTTATTTTAAATATTTCATAACTATTCTCTCCCTAGGGTTGAGTGTTGGATCGGTATGGCAACCCTAGAGGGGGGGTGAATAGGGTTTTAACGATAAAAGTGTTTAAACTTGATTAATTTTTCTAATGATAAAACTTTTTACAAATAAGTAGAAGATGATAATTACTAAAGCAAAATAATTCAAGTCAAAACAATAATCAAGTAGAACATGCAATAAACATAATAATAATCTTGAAATTAAATAGGAAAGAGTTAGAGAAAATGACACCGTAGTTTTATAGTGGTTCGGTCAAACTCGACCTACTCCACTCCCCAAGCGCCTCTTGGGAATTTGAATAAAGAACTTTTCCGACTCTTTCCACGGATCAGAGCCAAACCGGTACACCGCTCTTTTTACGAGTTCAAGAGCAAACTCAATCCTTTCAACGACGCAGGATCAAACCGATACAAGTATTTGAGTTTGATAATAACACACCACAACTCTCTCAAAGAGTAGATTTACAATTTGGGATACTGACAACTATTTCCTCACAATATAATAATAATCCCTCTCAAGAATAAGATGAAAAGAAATAAACTTGTAAGCTTGGAGAGAGCAATAAACAATGGAGACTTTGAACAAATGAGGATTGAAGAATGTATGTAAGTTGTATATTTTAAAAATGTGGGGAAGATGAGTTTATATAGAGGAGAAAAGTGGCAAAATGTAGGATTGAATATTGACCATTGGATTGTGTTAGGAATAATGGAAGGTGGAGATTAAAAGTAATTAAGTAAGAAAATTTTCTAAATTCATTTATTTCAAAATTGTAATATAATAGTAATATAATATAATAATAATAAAAAGTTATGTGAGTAACGGTAAAATGTAATTCAAAATTTATTATAAATATAATAATATAATAATAATAAAAATGATGTGAGTAACTACCAAAATTTTAAAATATAATAATATAATAATATAATATAGTAATAATAAAATTCGATGTGAGTAACGGTTATATTCAAATTTATATTTGTAAAAATAATTTTATTTAGAAATGTAATAATAAGAAAAACTCCACCATGTGTTACTCTTCCAATATTATAAATGTCATACTTTGATATATTTTGATCTGTCCATCATTTTGATTTTGTTGCCACATCATCACGTCAGGTATGTTGTCTCGACTCTAATTTCTTCGTTTTAGCTCTGATTTGAGTAATTGAAAAGTTGTTGTAATCGTTATTCCCGACCTTATACTGTGGACAGTTCAAAAAACTGAAAATAGTTAATAATTAAAAGTAGGTTTGTTATCATCAAAACATCAATAATTAATTCATTGAAATTAATTAATGTGCGATCAAGGGCCAATAAGCCAACAATCTCCCCCTTTTTGATGATGACAAATCATTTAAAGAAAAATTCATAAAAACCAATAATACAACATCCATGTAATAATATCACTACATACTAATATATTATCATAAATTTCACTCAAGAGCATATTCTCCCTTATATTAATGCCTCAAGAAATTATGAAACACCAAGTAAATGATTCATAAATTATAAAATAACAAATTTAGAACATATTTTTCTTAATTTTCTCCCCCTTTGTAATCATCAAAATGAACAATTGAAAGAGAATGCATTTAATAATGACATAATGGCTCCCCCTAAAAACATGCATTCAAAAATTATAAAATTCAAGATATATCACAACGAATAATACCAAGCTCAAGCCTATTTTTGCAAAAAATTTCTTCATTCAATGGCTTGGTGAAAATATCGGCCAGTTGATTATTAGAGTTTACAAAATCAAGAATAATATGTCCATTTTGCACATGCTCTCTAATAAAATGATGTCTAATGTCAATATGTTTAGTTCTAGAATGATGAATAGGATTTTTAGTTAAATTAATAGCACTTGTATTATCACAAAATATAGGCACACTATGAAACTTTAATCCAAAATCACAAAGAGTTTGTTTCATCCAAAGAATTTGAGCACAGCAACTAGCAACCGCAATATATTCCGCTTCGGTAGTAGATAAGGCAACCGAATTTTGCTTTTTACTAAACCAAGAAACTAAGGAACTACCAAGAAATTGACAAGTTCCACTAGTACTTTTACGATCAAGTAAGCTTCCGGCAAAATCTGCATCAGAATATCCTACCAATTTAAATTCAACATTTCTAGGATACCACAATCCTAGATCAATAGTTCCAAGCAAATATTTAAATATTCTCTTAACGGCATGTAAATGAGATTCCTTAGGACAAGATTGAAATCTAGCACAAAGACATACACTAAACATAATATCGGGTCTACTAGCGGTCAAGTAAAGTAAAGATCCAATCATACCTCGATAAGCTTTAATATCCACACTTTTACCTTTTTCATCCTTGTCAAGCTTAGTGGATGTGCTCATGGGAGTTCTTGCAATCTTACCTCCATTGAACTTGAATCTTTTGAGCAAATCTTTAGTGTATTTCTCTTGATTGATGAAGATACCATTCTTGAGTTGTTTGATTTGAAGTCCAAGAAAGAAACTGAGTTCTCCCATCATACTCATCTCAAACTCACTATGCATACATTTAGAAAATTCTTCACATAAAGAAGGATTAGTAGAACCAAATATGATATCATCCACATATATTTGCACTACTAGCATATCGTTTTCTTTAATCTTAATAAAGAGTGTAGTGTCGAGTTTGCCCATTTTAAAATCATTCCCAATAAGAAAATTACTAAGTCTATCATACCAAGCTCTTGGAGCTTGTTTTAAGCCATAAAGAGCCTTTTTCAACTTATAGACATGATGAGGAAATTCTACATTTTCAAATCCGGGAGGTTGTTCTACATAAACTTCCTCCATAATATAACCATTCAAAAATGCACTTTTCACATCCATTTGATATAATACAAAATTTTTGTAAGAAGCAAAAGCAAGTAACATTCTAATAGCTTCTAATCTAGCAACGGGTGCAAAAGTTTCTTCATAATCTATGCCTTCCTCTTGACAATAACCTTGAGCTACAAGCCTAGCTTTATTTCTAATGATATTCCCATTTTCATCCATTTTATTTCTAAAAACCCATTTGGTTCCAATAATAGAAGTATTAGATGGCCTATGGACTAATTCCCAAACTTTGTTCCTTTCAAATTGATTTAGCTCTTCTTGCATGGCTAAAATCCAAAACTCATCATTTTCGGCATCCTTAAGACTTTTTGGTTCAATTTGAGAAACAAAAGCAAGATTATTAAATAAATTAATAGAAGAGCGAGTTTTCACACCTTGTTCGAGATCACCAAGAATCAAGTCCTTGGGATGAGACAAGGCATACCTCCATTCTTTTGGCATTGATGAAGAACCTTCTTCCTTTAAGCTCATCTCTTCTTTACTCGTAACAATTTCTTTGCCGTTGTCACTAACGAGTAAATCTCCAAAATTTCTTTCTAAATCATCACTACAAATAGACTCATTAGAAATATTATTGCAAGATTCATCAAATACCACATGCATAGATTCTTCAATAACTAAAGTTCTCTTATTGAAAATTCTATAAGCTTTACTAGTAGATGAATAGCCAAGAAAAATACCAATATCCGTTTTTGAATCAAACTTTCCAAGCTTTTCTTTGTTGTTCAAAATAAAACATTTACAACCAAAAACTTTGAAATACCCAACATTTGGAATTTTGTTATGCCAGAGTTCATAAGGAGTTTTATTTAATGAAGGTCTAATTAAAACTCTATTTAAAATATAACAAGCGGTATTAACGGCTTCCGCCCAAAAATATTTAGGTAAATCATACTCATTTAACATTGATCTAGCAAATTCTTGTAAAGTACGATTTTTCCTTTCAACCACACCGTTTTGTTGAGGAGTCCTTGGAGAGGAGAAGTCATGAGAAAAACCATTATCTTCACAAAATTTTTCAAAGGCAACACTGTTAAATTCTCCCCCATGGTCACTCCTAATTTTAGTAATTAAAAACCCTTTTTCATTTTGAACTCTTTTTACAAAACTAGCAAATCTTTTCAAAACATCATTCTTATGTTTTATCATCAAAACCCAAGTAAATCTTGAAAAATCATCCACTATCACAAAAGCATAATAATTTCCTCCATAACTAGCTATTTTAGAAGGGCCAAATAAGTCTATATGGAGTAGTTGAAGAGGTCTAGTAGTAGAAATCATATTTTTAGATTTGAAAGAAGACTTAGTTTGCTTACCCATTTGACAAGCGTCACAAATTTTATCTTTTTCAAATTTAAGTTGAGGGAGACCTCTCACTAATGAATTTTTTGAAATATTTGAAATCAAGTACATACTAGCATGTCCTAGTCTTCTATGCCATAGCCAAGAGTTATCAAGCAAAACCGAAAGACATTTATCATTTGTAGGACAATCATTCAAATCAATAGTATACACATTATCGTCTCTATTTCCTACAAACAAAACTTTTCTATCACTAGCATTTTCAATTATGCAATTATTCTTATCAAATACAACTCTAAAACCTTTATCACATAATTGACTAATGCTAAGTAAGTCATGCTTTAAACCATCAACTAACAATACATTTTTAATGAGAGTACAAGAGTCATTACCTATAGTACCCTTACCAATTATTTTACCCTTCTTGTTATCACCAAAGGTTACTAAGCCACCATCCTTCTTGGAAAGATTGACAAACTTGGATGGATTACCCGTCATGTGTCTTGAGCAACCACTATCCAAGTACCACTTATTTTTCTTGGAGGCTTTCAAACAAACCTAAAAACAAAGATATTCAAAATTGACCTTTTGGTACCCATACTTGTTTGGGTCCTAGAAAGTTAGTATTCACAAATTTAGGAATCCATTTCATATTTGCATTCATATTAAAGACATTGTATTTAGATAAGTAACAAGAATAATCTTTATGTCCAAACTTACCACACGAGAAACAAACGACATTATGCAAGAATTTATTTCTTGGACTAAATTTGTGTATTCTATTTTTATTCGAAAAATTATTTTCTAAAACATTGTTAAACTTTGTATTTTGAGAAACTTTTCTTCCTAAATGAATATTTTGAGAATTTTTCAATTTAAAGCACTT